ACCTGATGTAAGTATGGGTTAGAGAAAAACATTTTTGGGAGTCATTAGCATTTAAATTGTATGTAAGAGTGTATAGGAGTTAAAAGGAACATAGGAAAGAACCCTGAAGAGAATCAGTACATTGATGCAGGTGAGCAATGAAGACTATAAAAATACAGTTTCTAGGTTGGGAACTAAGTGAGAAAAGGAAGCAAGGGGCAGAGTTTCTGAGGAAAATGGATGGCAATGAAATGGCCATGGAAGGTTATGAATAATGCAGTGCTCTTTGAGAATGGCATTTTGGGACATAATTTGTGGCCTGTTTGAGAGTGGGTTGAGGGGGTCAGTAGAAGCAGAAATGTGATAAAGTTAGGGTAGAGCACGTTAAGGACTATGACAGGGCATAACTGTAATCTCTTCTACCTGAGTGAAAAGGCAGAGACAGCAGTTAATTGAAGTAGCAATATCAAGGGAGCTTTCTTCTTTCCTTTTCTTTTTCTTTTCATTTTTCTTCTTTTTGTTTTTTAATGGGAAAACCATAAGCATGTGTGAACAAAGATGGGATGTGGGAGAAGCTTTGGAAAGGGAAGGGAAGGTATAAAGATAAAGGAAGTGCCCTGGCTGATATGTCTCAGTGGTTTGAGTGCTGGCCTACCAACCGAAAGGTCACCAGTTCAATTCCTGGTCAGGGCACAGGCCTTGGTTGTGGGCAAGGTCCCCAGATGGGGCTGTGCAAGAGGCATGTTCCTCTCACACATGGATGTTTCTCTCCTTCTGTTTCTCTCTCCCTTCCCCTCTTTAAAAAAATAAGTAAAATCTTTTTTAAAAAGATAAAGTGAAACTAATTGTAGTGTACAGAATATGAGGAGTGATATTAATGGACAATCTTGTTCCATTGTTTACTACATAAAATTATTTTGCCCGCCCTTCTAAGGTGAGGTTGGGAGTGCTAACTACTCAGGAACTCCAGGAGTGGATTCCTTATTTTATCAGTCATTTCCAAGCAGTTGGTGTGCAATGATTATCTTATTCTAACAGTTTTTCAAAATTCTTTTTTAATCTGCTTTATAGGAATAAAAGGATGATGGAAAGATTAATTAAAATGAAGAAGAAGAAGAAAACTCGTTTGAACACACCCACATCATTCCTTTTGGATGGATCATGTCTTCAATAAAGAATAAATGGTGGAATGCTCACAGCTAAATTGACCTGTATCCCAATGATTGCTGTGCTCTGTTCTGGACATTTGCAGTGTTGCTCGATACCTTGAGTACAAATGTGAATGTCTGGATTCTGTACTTGAGGTTTGCCAGAATGTGACTGCCACTGCAGCGTCAGGTATTTAGGTATGTAGAATGTAATTTGGTTTTGACCTAATTAATAGATTTTTTTAGCAGTTTTAGGCTTTCAGAAAAATTGAGCAGAAAGTAATGAGTTCCAAAACCCTGCCCCTTTCTCCCACACTTCCACTGCTATCCACACCTTGCATCAGCATGGTAAATTTGTTGAACTTACATTAACACATCATTATCACCAAAAGCCCATAGCTGACATTAGGGTTCACATTTTGTGTTTTATATTCTATGGATTTTGACAAATGTATAATGAGACATATCCACCATTATAGAGTCATCAAAAGAGTTTGACTGCCCTAAAAATGCTATACTTTTATTCAACACTCCCTCCTTCCAACCCATGACCCATTGATAATTTTTACTGTATCCATGGCTTTGTTTTTTCCTGAATGTCATATAGTTGGAATCATAGAGTAGCCTTTTCAGATTGACCTCTCTTACAGAAATATGCATTTAAGGTTCCTTCATGTCTTTTCACAGCTCGATAACTCACTTTTTTTTTCATTTTTTAATTGATTTTTTTAAGGAGAGAAAGAAAGGGGTAGGGAGGAGAGAAAGGAAACATTCGTGTTAGATTTAAAATCTAACCCTCTTTCATGATGTGAAAACATTCAATGCCCAAAGAATAGAATGGAACAATCTGAACATGATATAGGTCATATATGAAGAGCCCACAGCTAACATACTAAGTGGTGAACTAAGTGAACAGTTCAAAGTTTTTTCCCTGAAGTCATCAACAAGACAAGGATGCACATTTTAACCACTTCTCTTCAAGATGATATTGGAAATTCTAGCCAGAAAAGTTAGGTAAGAAAAAGAAACAGGCAATCTAAATTGGAAGGGCAGAAGTAAAAACTCTATACACTGGTGACATAATGTTACATATAGAAAACTTGAGTAATCCTTCAAAAAATTGTTAGAGCTAATTAACAAATACAGCAAATTGTCAGAATATTTAAATCACAAAATCAGTTGTATTTCTATATACTAGAAATTATCTGACAAAATGATTTCATTTCTAATAGCATCAAAATAGGATATAATGCTAGTAAAGGAATAAACTTAAAGTTATAGGACATGCACTGAAGACTACAAAGCATTGCTGAAATCTCTTAGTTTGCAAGTGTGGTAAACAGATCAATTTCAAAAGAAACATGTTTGTACTTTTTTATACTGCTAGCTTTTGCATTTTATTACATTTTATATAAAAATTTTTCCACCAAAGAAAAGTTGAAACAATAACAACAATTTACAATTATCATTATATCCACATTTAAACAAATTTTTTCCATGTATTCTTATTGGTTACCCTGACATAGAGTGAACAGACACACTCTTTGCCCCTAAATGCTTTAGCATGCACCCTGCAAGAATAAAGACATTCTACAGGATCAGTATCATTATCAAACCTAAGAAATAGTCATTTTATAATAGCATCTTGCCCTCGCCCAGTGTCTTATTTGGTTGGAGCACCATCCCGTTCATCGAAAGGTTGCGCGTTCCACCTCCTGTTGGGGCACATGCAGGAGGCAACCAATCTCTTTCTCACATCAATGTTTCTCTAAAATTAAACATGTTTTCAGGTGAGGATTAAAATAAAAAAATAATAGCACATAATACCTAGTTCATAATCAAATATGATTAATCGTCCACAGAATATGTTTTGTACTTTTAAAAACCCAGCATTCAGTATTTTCAGGCATTTAATTATAATACCTTCCTACTTCCTTTAAATCAAAGATCTTTATAATACTGTCTTGAAGAGAAAAGGTCAGTTTTCTTATACGATACACCACATTTTGGATTGTATTCTCATAGTGTTCTTTAATTCTCTATTTTCTTTAAACTCAAGATTAGAGACTTGATTAGATTCAGATAAAACATTTTTAGAAGACTATTCATAGGATTGAGGACTTCATATTTCATTGCCTAAGAAAGTACATAACTCGGATTGTCTCATCATTATATTAAACAAATTATGACTTTATTACAGAGATGACCACCTTATTTCTCCAAGGTCTAAGTGCAGTTTTCACCTTCAAATTTATAAACACTTTATAAGTTGATACTTTTGTCACCATATGACTGACTATCTTGCCCTTTCCCAACAACTCTTCACAATGAATTTTCGCATCTTATAGTCATTCATGTTTGAATCAATTATTACATTGATGGTTGCAAACTCTTCCCAGTATTTGATTCATTTCTTTAGTTGGCATACTGTAAAAAGAAGGAAAATGCTTTCCTTTTAGAGTACCATTATGGCCTCATGAATTTAAAATATTTTAAATGTTAATTTATTTTTTAATTAAAAAATTTAACTTTTAGTTATGTTATGACCAATTAATATTAGATGCATTAAAATATTCTCAGATTCAGTAAGCTTATATTATTTAAAGTTGTATTACATGAATAATTAACTCATATTTTTCACATTGATTTACCTAGTTTTATAATATAGATTACACAGTTTCATTAACAGTTTGCAAATGTTACCTCTTTTGTTCTCTGGAGTAAGGTATATAATAAGGGAATTATCTGGCACTTGAAAATCTGGTATTTACATGTGAAAAAACATCTAGGTAAGGACATGTGTTGAGAAGTATGTGATTACTACTGGCTTATTCAAGTTTTCTATTACTTATGCTACTAGTTTTATCTTTTTTAAAAAAAAATTATTTATTTTTTTAGAGAAGGGAAGGGAGAAAGGGAAAGAAACATCAATGTCTGGTTACCTCTTCAGTGTTCCCTACTGGGGACCTGGCTTGCAAGCCAGGCATGTGCCCTGACTAGGAATCGAACTGGCGACCCTTTGGCTCTCAGGCCAGTGCTCAATCCACTGAGCCACACTAGCCAGGGTTTATCTTATATTTTTCCAGAACATTTTTATTCCAACTTTTCAAAGTTTATATTTTTTGTCTGCTGTGTCAGTAATTTTTTTTCAGATTCCATATTTTCTTTACTTGCTATTTCTCTTGTTTTCCCATTCAGTCTTTTTTCTTTTTTTTCTTATTCAGCCTTGTTAGAGATTTATTCATCTTACTGATTTTTCCAAAGAACAATGCCGAGGTATGGTTCTTAAGGAATCAGACTTTGAGAGTGTAGGGCACAGGATTTTGGGAATCAACTTTGGGATCACCACTCATAAAAGGGAAAGGAAGAAAGCCATAAGGGGAGAGAACTCAGGTGGTGAGGCAAGATGGAACTGGGAACATAATAAAAGCCTAGGCCAACCTCGGGAGGAAGTTTTGGAGCTAAAGTGTCAAGACTGTTCCTACCTTGGGTCAAAAGTTTGTGTGGTACACTCTAGCCAAATCAGTCACTTCTTGAAGGCTGCTGGAGGAAGACCAAAGCCTGGGACATTTATCTTCAACTGAGGGTGGGACTCACCCGGGGGGGCCCGGGGGCCAACAGCTGGAGGCTATTTCCCCGGTAACTGTTTCCCAGCAGGGAAATCAGGGCAACTCCTTTCCAATTCCTCTACAATTGATTTCTGATTTTGATCACTCTGCTTTGCTATTTTGTTTTCTATTTCCTTAATTTCTGTTACCTTTATTTTTCTTCCTCTGTGGTTCTTTGAATTTATTCAGTGTTTCTTTTTCTGGCTTGAGTTGTAATTTTTCTTGAGTTAAATCTTTGGCTCATTTATATTTATTTTAGTCTTTTTTGTTTATGACACACTTAACAAAGTTGCATGTCTTCCTTACACAGGGACCATGCTGGCCTTGTCTGTATCGTTCCAAATTTAGTGTATGTGCTACCAAAGTGAGCACAATCCTACTGTTTTCTGATCAATATTTTTAAAGCTAGAAGTTTCCTTATAAGAACTGCTTTCTCTAATTCTGGGAAGTTCTTAGTCATTATTTCTTCAAAATACTTTCTCCCTTGTTTTACCCTTTCCTCCTTACTAAATACTGTTAACTTTCTTCCTTCATAGCTCTTTGATTTCATAATTTTATCTTGGGTTAGTGTCTGGAAGATAAGGACTAGTAAGACACTTGCCAAGACGGAAGGGATCCTGAACAATGAGTTCCTACAGACAAGCTACATAAATGCTCCGAATAAATACCTGCTACTGTTACCGGACAGGGGCCTGGCCCTGAGTGGGTCTTCCTAAGGCCAGCAGTAGTGTGTGGGTTCTTGACTTCATGTAAGAAAGATTTTACAACACAAGTTCAGGTGACTGAGAATCCATTTGTTAAAGCTGGGGACAGGAAACCAAGGAAGGGCTTAACACAAAAGCAATGGGAGAGGCTGAGTTGGGCTGTCTTGGGCAATTGGAAAGTCAGAGAAAAGGGGGTTTTGGGGAGAGGTTCAGGGGATTAGCCTGGGCCAAGCTGCCAGCTGCTCATTGCCTTGCAGGGGTGTCTAACCTGCAGTCCGCGGGCCACATGAAGCCCAACACAAAATCGTAAACTTACTTAAAACATGAGTTTTTTTGTGATTACATGTCACAATGTATCTCGTGTGGCCCAAGATAACTCTTCCAGTGTAGCGCAGAGGTGCGAAAAGGCTGGACACCCCTGTTAGGAGACACGTGCCTGTAAACAAAGAAGTAGGGGAAGAAGAAGGAAAAGGGATTGATGTGAGGGAGAGCATGTGTGCACAGGATCCTTTGTCTTGAGGCTTTTATTCCTTTTTCTTGCAGGTGGGGAATCTTAGAACAAGTCTCATGGGAGGATTTCAGTAGAATATTCATCATATTTCCAGCTGTGATTGGTCAGTGACAAGACAGGGCATCTTTAGTCATTGCACTTGGTCCTGGCCATTGCCCACCTGGTTTTGCTGCTTTTCTCGGCCTCGAGCTGAAATACAACTGAGGCCTAGATGTTATATCGTAGGTGTTATCTCCAGGGAGGAAAGGCCAGGGTAGGAGAGGTTACCCTGGGGCTGAGGTCCTTGTTTTCCCATTTTTCCCCCTGCCAGGCACTGGGCGCCGTGGGTCCCTGGTAACCACATGCACCTGGCTGTAAATTCTTGGCCACTGTGTTCAGCTGTCTGCCTCAGTTTCCCTATTCCACTTGCCAAGGAATTTTCCTAACTTACTATCTTGTTTCACTACCATAAAAGGCAACAATCTCTGCTCCCCTGAAAGGCAGCAGGATTCCCACTGCCTCTCACTTTCAGGAATATCCAAAGGGGAAGATGATTCAGTGCATGTCATTGTAACTTCCCTCTCAGCTATGGTCTCCAAACTATTTCACTCTGCTTTTCTATGAGTACTTACATATAATCTACCAACAACAAATGACTTCTATCTAGTTATTGTACTCTGTCCAAATGCTTCTATTTCATACCTGTGATTTTATTTTGTTTTTTTACCTTCACCCAAGGACATTTTTTCATTGGTTTTTAGAGAGAGAGGAAGGGAGAAAGAGAAACATTGATAGGGGAGAAACATTGATTAGCTGCTTCCCGTATTGCCCATAGGGGTGATCGATCACATATGTCCAGACCAGGAACAAAAACCACAACCTACGTATGTGTCCTGACCAGGAATTGAGCCTGCAATCCTTTGGTTATAGGACAGTGCTCCAACCAACTGAGCCACACTGACCAGGGCCATACCTGTGTTTTTAAACATAGCTGCCTGTAATTTTCTCCTATTTGTCCTCTTCTGTATGGGAGGAGGACAGGGAAGAGAGATGTTATGGTCCCAAATAAGCACTTAATTTCACCCCTTTACACTTTATTACTTACATTTCAAATTCTACAAGCTTGAGAATATTAGTGTTCGTGACCTGCAATATATTTTGTAGAATTAAAGTGAGGCTACCCTGAACTCAGGCTCCTGATGGCTAATGGCACAGTTGTCCAATCACCAGTGTTTCACTCCTATAGGGAGCCCCAATTGGCAGAGAGATGAGAATAGAAAGAGCAAATGTTGCTTGAAAGCCTTCCTAGTACAGTGCTTAGCTGCACTCTCAGGGCAAAATAAACTTAGGGCAAAGTGCTGTGAGATCTTTTAAAAGTGTCACAAACTGAAAAGAAGTGTGGTTTCAGAGTTGTGATATTATTAATTTATGATCCTAAGCCTGAAGTAGTGAAGGAGGATAAAACAACTTCATGGAAACACTCCTTACCTTCTGTTATCACCTACTGTATGAAGGCAAATTACTAGATATGTGGGCAAAATATAAGCATTACTTGAAAATGATTTTATTTATTTTATTACTTGAAAGTGATTTTCAATTTTAAATAAAAGAGGTTTTTTTCTAAAAACCCACAGACACTTTCCTATTAGCAAAATGTACTTTTTGAAACTAAATGTTCCAGAGCTAAGAATTATATCTATTTTTAAAAAAATTTGCCCTTGAAGTTAGACAATGGTATATGAGGTAAAGAAATGTATGGTTGCCCACTTGCTGCATATAAATATGTGTCATTGGGGCTCCCAAGCACATTTCCCATCTTCACGATTAAGGATTAGAATCTCCCATGCCTGTCTTCTTCAGCATCTCTGAATTTTAAAGGCATAGTGAAAAGAATATCAATGTTTGGAATTAAACAGAGCAGTGGTCAAATTCTAGTTTCACCACTTAACAGCTGTGAGTTCTTTCTCATCAGTATAAGGGTGGTGAGGTTTCTTACCAGGCTGGTGGTGGTTCTGTGAGAAAACGCTTGTAAAACTTGCAAAAAACAGATCTTTAAAAAAGGTAGCTATTACTGTTATTCTTAGTAGATAGGAGAAAGTGCAGAAGGAAGGAGAACCTATGCCATTATCAGGCAGGAACCTGGGAAAATTAGAAAGGGTTTATAGCAGGCACTGAGATGGCCCTCTGTCTATTACTTTCCATAGCAATTTCCTCTAAAATGTCCCAATTTGTCAAAGAAATAATGCTTCATTTAATTCTCCTGCTTGAAGTTTCTCTACATCTCTCTGCCACTGTCTCAGTAGGAAGTTCATGTCTTCATAGTCTGCTATTTCAAATTTATTTTTCAGATTTCCCAGTGGAAAATCTCTACTCCTGACCAGCAGTAGAGGCCTTTTCTTTGCCCACTTGTAGGCTTTGGTTCCAGCTGTCCTCCCACCTTGCCTTCTACTTCCACTCACCTCACCTTTCTCTGCCCCACCCTCTCCAATAAAAAGACTAAATAGCACAGCTCTTTCCCCACGTAAGAGTTAAGCGTTGCTTCTCTTGTTTTCAAAATTCTTATTGTATTTACTGCCTTTTATTGCAATTTAACTTTGCATGAATGAGTATCACTTGTCTTTTTAATAAGAGTGTTTCATCAAGGCAGTGACTGTACTGTTATACTTCTTGGTGTCCAACCAAGATGTTCACATCCGTAATTTATGTTCCTTAAAGAATATTATTGTAAAAAGAGTCTGAGGGTTCAATTGCCCCTTCTCTAATAATTTTGATACTGCATCTAAAGAATTAGGACTTTTTATCCAGAAACCACATGAGGTCTGGGGTCCCCTCAGCTATTTCTGCCTCAAATACTATTTTTTCTAAGTGATTATTCCACTGTAAATCATTCTATTTCAAGAGCACCCCCTACTGGGCAAGGAGCTGTTAGGTTAGATATGCTATTTGAAATGTCAGCCTAGCAATTTCTCAGTACTGAAATTGCAGTCTACAGGCGAATGCAGGATGCTTAAAGCAATGATGTAACACCAGTGTGAATTAGCGGGGTTTTTTCCCTTTTAATCCCCCTATGCCCTCATGGCTCTTGATGACTTTTTATTTTTTAAAGATTTTATTTATTTATTTTTAGAGAGAGGGGAAGGGAGGGAGAGAGACATCAGTTGGTTGCCTCTTGCATGCCCCCAACCAGGGACCTGCCCAGCAACAAGGCATGAGGCCTTACCAGAATCAAACTGGCGACGGTTCAGTTTGTGGGATGACACTGAACCTACTGAGCCACACCAATAAAAGGGTGTTGATTTTTTAAATCAAACACCATTCAAATAATATCTTTGAAACACAAGGATTATTGTGTTTCACATAAACACAATAAAACTCAAGTAAAGCCAGGATTCCATTCTTATATTGCACTTTTAGTCCCCTAAGGCTGTGTAGTCAATTAAGCTATATTTCCAAGAGTGCTAATACTCATTAACATTATTAATCATTTTAAACATATCAGTGGTCTGATTTCCTCTGGGAAAAGCATATACTGCTTTGAGTGTTTCTCATATCAGGTCTAATACAAAAACCTTTCCTAGCGCCATATCCTTCTGCCCTGTTGATGGAATGATGACTTTGGGTTTTATTTATTTTTTAAAGATTTTATTTATTTTATTTTTAGAGAGAAGGGAAGGGAGGAAGAGAGTGAAGGAGAGAATTATTGAACAACTGTCTCTTGTACATGCCCCAACTGGGGATAGAATCTGCAACTCAGGCATGTGCCCTGACAGGGAATCAAACTGGTGACACTTCACTTTGCAGAACAATGCCCAACCAACTGAGCCACATTGGCCAGGATGACTGTGGGTTTTAGATACACTTTGGGGCTTCATAAATTGCTTGAGACCCAATGTTTAGATATGGGTCCCTTTTTAAAAAGATGTTATTTTATATAACCAAGTATAAAAATGTGCAGTGACTTAAACTAGATCAAATCAGAAAATAAGATTTGCCTTTGCTAATGGCAAACACTTACACGGTGCTTCATATCACCTCCACGTTACTAATAATAAAACAAGCTCAGACAAGTTAAAGTAGTTGAACCTAGGTCATCCAACTATAAATGGTAGAGCCACAATTCAAACACCAAGGTGTCATGGACACAAATTTATTTCTCTTAAAAACTGCTGGAAGAGAGT